CAAAACTAACTTCCAGGTTGTAGCACTCATATTGTCTATAAAAATATATGATGATGGTTACTCGAGATTTCTCTTTGTTGTGACTTGATGAGTTGTAGAGCTGAGGGCAACGATGTTTTTTTTTTCAGCCACTATATTGGGAAGCACTGGCTTAGCTGATGTTTTGAAGAGCACTCATTTTGCAGATGGTGTAGATGCTTCTTCATTCTCAGAACTTTTGTTTTCTTTAGCAAAGTTCAAGGAGCTTTTATCTTTCTCAGTTTGGTGTTCCGTTGTAACGGTAATTACAAGAAGAACATTCAGAACAAGTATGATTGCATATCTGTACTGAGTAGTGTTATGTTCCAGCTGGGTAACTTTGACATAAAAAAATATATATTCTTCTTCAGTGTCCAGTAGTAATATTGTAGCATTGGATGTATTAGTTTCCTGCTAAAAATAAAGGTGCAAAATTGTTATTTATATAAATGTATGATTAGAAGTTTAAATGGTATGTCATGGTTCTTATAAACATCTCTTACCGCTTTTGTAAAATTCATCAAATTTTCAGCACTATGCTTCAGTATTGTCTTTGCACTTGCATCTTCCAATTGTACTGTGGCATTTGCTCTATTGGAATGGGGAATAAGTATATTTAAGTTTAGTAGAGAATGATTAAAATGTATGAAAGTACGATAGGTGCTAAAAGTAATTCGAATAAGGTTACTGATTGGAATAAATTGTAATAAATGTTACCTTGGTACAGCTTTCGCAGTAGGATGTTTACAGTAAATACAAAGGAAAATTTCATGAAAATTAGCATGAGTGCTTTATTACAATTGTTACAAGATATGTACCAAAAAGTTTGTTTTGTTGTTTTGATAGATGGTCTAGCTTTGATCCAATAATATTTACGATGTTGAGAAATGTAATATGTAGATAAAAAAATGAGCAAAATGTATTTGTAAAGGATATAAAGAATAGACCATAAATTTATAATGAAGTAAAATAAGTTACTCCGAGTAGTCTTCCTTTTAGATTTTGTATCTACATAAATTTTTTATGTAGGGTAGGAGATAACTTCGTGGGAGTGACTATTTGATTTGGTTTCTCCAATGCAATGTCGTTCAGTTCTTCTTTATGTGCTTCAATTCTGGCAGTAAATGTTTATAGAACAGTAAAAAGTGAATATATAGTTAATAGAGATTGTTGTGAATGATTTTTTATACCATACAGATTTTTTATACTTACCATTTTCTCAATTCTGCAACTTCGTTGAAACCAGTCATCTATGAAAAAGGTGCTATTGATTTTGGTTGACAGTGTAAGACCTGCATTATGGGTTAAACATTAGTTTCTTGTCTGTATAGAAATATACTACTTCATATGAGTAGTTATATACTGTAAAGTATGTATATTAAATGCTACCATTAAATGACGAAACTTTCAATCGGTTAGCTAAAAAAAATGATAGGCTTTTTGGTAATGTTTTATGAAATTAGAAAACATTTTTTTCCACATAGCCATCCCACATTGTTAAAATGATTGTGTGGAAGGTTTTATCTATCAGGAAAATATCCGGCACATAAGTTTGGTTTCGAGACCGAGTTTGAATGGGTCTCTTTGGCCGTATGTCAATAACCACTGCAAGTATGCCTGCAAAGATGCTATGTGTGAAAAGTTCTGTTTAAAAGTTAATAATTATGTGCATGTGTGTTTTCGAATTAAATGAAGTAAAAATGTAAGTTATAAAAAATAGGAGAAATGATTGGTTAGAAATTACTTATATCATTGTTGCAATCCATATGTTTTTCCAGTTATGGAAAAGGAGTAAAACTGTACGTTGAAAATAAGAATTCAATGTGGTTTTCATTCACTTCTTGAACACGTGTCTTTCCAGATATTATCCATTGGACATTACCGTTTGATGTTCTATACTCAGGCTTTGTGTCTTTAATAAGAGAATTTGAAATAACATATGTTTTGCTCAGCTGGAGCTGATCTTCAAAGGCTGTAATATTGGCATCATATAGTGTTGTGTGCACTATGTTTCCCTGTAGTAGTTTTGAATGGAAATGAAAACAAATGTTTGTTTTTTATAGGAGCAAAACAATGAAGAGTTATAAATTAGATTTATTTATTGAAAGATGTTTTCCTGAAGATCCATTAGCACCATATTTTGATATCTACTGCTACTATGTTTTGCCTGTGTTGGTGATAATTTTTCAACAACAATTATTTTTGCTTGCCAGTTCTTTTCCTTTGGATTGATCTGCAGTATGAACTTAAAGTTTCCTGCCATGTTGTTAAGGCTAAAACAGAGAAGAAATAAATATGATGAATAATGAGAAAGTAGTAAAATCTAGTGTGTGTAAGAAAGTCTATTTCTGTCTTGTTTTTCTTGTGATGTGTTCATATATTTACCTGAAGGGTGAAGCAAATGATAGTTTATTCTCGTCCTCAAGTGTTGAAACTGAGGTGTGTGTATGTTCTTCTTCTTCTACGTTTGATGTGGAGTTCCTTAATAGCATATTTATAGTGGATATGTGTGTGTGTGTGTATATATATATATAAGTGTAGTGGCTATATTTTTAGCTTAATAATGTTGCATGCAATTGTGAGATAAAGGTTGGAAGATATGTTAAATATTGTGAGCAGTCATCCATCGAAATTTGACACGTGAAGATGAGTAGGGTGAAAGTCCATACCTACTAACTTTTTTCAGTAGAAAAGCTAAAAAAGCTGCTCGATTTTTTTCAGTAGAAAAGCTAAAAAGGCCGCTGGATGTTACTATATGAAATAGACAGTACAATGATACAGGAAAGCACTTTATTGAGTATGGGAAATTATATTTTTTTCCAGAATGCTAAGGCAAATATAGCTGCTGAAATTTCAAAATATTATTAAACTAAAAAAGTAAGAGCAACGAGAGAGAATCGTCTTCAGCTTAATGTAGTCCTCATTTATATTCCACCATTTCTTTCTTTATTTATATGAAAATTTGGGGTAATTTATGGAATACCTATGGAATTTAAACAAAAGTATAGACAATAGATTATTGTAGTAAGAAATTAAATTACATGCATTATAAAACTTATCATTCTGAAGTTGAGATTCACTAAGTATACGTTTTTGTATCAATTGAGTTAGCAAGAAATGATCTTATCCATGTCAAATGTAAAAGTAAGAATAAAATAAATAAGTAGATTCTTATCGAAATTAAATGGAACTTGAATCTAAGTAAATAAAGGGACATTGTGTTTGCGGGCAAATTCTTCCAGCTGAGAGCAAAAAGTCGAATGCTTTTTTTTTATGACATCCGTTGGCAACTCTGCCACATTTTTTCCCAGCAAATGGCATTGATCCTTTCATTAATTTCACTCTTAGATAACTGTAAGGAACTCTCTATGGCTTCTTTGTCTAGACATTATTTCATCTATTCTGCAGTAGAGAGTAGAAAGATTGTTAAAGCATATAAACTAAAAAGGAAAGAACACTACACTGGCTATCGTCAGGGAAAAAAAGGATGCAAAACGAAAAGAAACAATTGGAAATAAAAATAGAAGAAAGAGACAGAGAGGGACAATCCCAAACTGGAATTAGCAATAAATGTGCACAATCATTAGTAAAAGAAGTCATGTTTCATGGAGGCCATATCCAGTCATGGGAGATATAAAAGAACTTGATAGTTAAATGGGTTTAAGATATTTCATGCCCTTCCAGGAAAAACATTATTGTAGCTATTGTTCATCGAAAGGGAAAACAGAACAAATGTTGTTGTATTCCAGATTTCCAGGTCTAAAAAACCTTCTATACCAATTTAAATGCACCAACGCTCGACTATGTTTGGCTCATGTTTACAAACCAAGAGATGAGACCATATTTGTTAAGATACTCAGCCATAGCA